TTTTGGGTTGGTTTTAAGGAGGAGCAAGAAAACATCCGTATCCAGAAACGAGCTTAACAATTATCGGCCCAGATTCTTCATATAATTTACGTAGTAAGACATAAAGTTTACAAAATACGTTTGTACTCACCGAGGGAAAAGAGGGTGAGAAGGAAACGGAGGATGGGGATGTTGGGAAAAAATTTAAATGAGGGAAAAACGCAGAGCAAAAAAAAAAAAAATAGAGAAGTGAGGGTGAAATTGTAAAACGGCTTTATGGCAGACGGTTGAGACCAGAGTGGGAGTTGAAGACTATAACCTCATTTTTTTTTCAAAGCTTTTTGTTGAAAAAGCGTTTTTGCTTGGCATATTTCGGAACAGCTGCCACGACGAGAATGGCGTCTACTTCTTTTTTTGTAGCGCGAGTTTCATCCAGTTACTATGCAACTTCACGATTTCTTGCTTACTTGTTACCCAGAACGCCTGTTATTTTATGACTGATTCATATTTAGAACTCTCTCAAGTGGTGTAGCTGGCAACCATGTCATCGTCTTCAGTTCTGGTCTCACCGATTCCCTGCTTAATCACCGATTCCCTGCTTTCCAAAAACAAATTTCCCTTCTCGGTCAAACTCCGGTGTGCTTACATACACGTGAATGCGTAACTATGTATTGTACGTTGCACACAGTGTAGCTGCAGCAGTTAGTTGATTTATAATCATTCTGAGGAGCTGAAGTGTCATTGACTAATGAGAGCGGTAAATGTCAGAAAAAATTTGCAGTTTGATACCAGCCGTGGCAGCAACAGCAACAGCATTCTTCGTTAACTTGAAATTGGGATGACAGTTGCAATGGGTAATTAGTAGGGCTGTCATTTCGAGCAGAGGGGGTGCATGAAATTATCTTTCAGAACGATTTTTTGTGCATGAATGAACTAAAAACAGATGATTTTGCTGGAAAATAATACTGGCACCAGCAATGCATCCGTAAAAACAGTAGTCTTTGGCTCTTGTGACTGAAGAGTCCTTCAGTATTCGGAGTGGAGTGATTATATGAATTGGTATGAGAAAGTCTTTAAAGCCCCTGTATTCATCCGCCTCTGTGAGGGATGGAGGCAATTGGAGGTGTTCTGAGAGCAACAGGTACCATCAGCAGCCTTCGTAGACAAGACTTGTGATGGTCTCCTCATTCGAGGATTGCTTACAGGCAAGTTAATGGTAAGTCTGACGCAGCGTATGTTAGTACCAGTGTGATACTGAAATGAATGAACGAATCGTAAAGAGACTGGTTGTTCCCATAGAGCGAGTGCAGTTGAATTTTTGTACTTATTACCTTTAATGGATATGTAAATTTACTAAATCCGGCTTTAAAAACGTCTCTTTGAATCTGCACGGGCGCATGAGTCAGATTTCGCATAGCGAAAACGGATTAATAAATTTGCTAGATGTTGTATACATTCCAACACAGACTGCACAAATAATAGCAACACGGTCGATAAATTTATCAGATAAACGCGAAAGAAAACAGAGAAACATGGTGTAGTCAGCTAGTTTATCAGGAAAAGCTTGAAAGAGATTATAATATACACTGAGTGAGTACTGCTGACGCGTCTCACTTCACCTTCATCACACACGCCAACATCCTTCAACTTTTCCGCGTCTTTCTGTTTTTTCACTGCATCTCAGTTCACTGACAGGAAATTGTGCTTGTGCATTTCGTAAGGTTTTTTGGCCTGCGGAACGTTGGTCGCTCATCGCCTGCGGGAAGGTTCAAGAAATTTTGTAGCAAATAACGAAAGAAATTCTGAGAACTGAGGAATTGATAAATCAGTAATTAGTATGTGACT